AGGAAGAGAGTCAGGAGGCGGTATAATTCTGAACTGTCCCTTGAATTTCCCTCCACTATAGGTTCTGAGTTGGCAGATTTTGTAGGACGCAACCATGCGGTGACGGAAGATTTCGGGAATCACCATAAAGGAAGAAAAGATTAAAAAAACCACTTATTAAATAATTATTCAATAAAATTTATGTGGACATTTATGTCCCCCAGTTCCACTACAAACCGTGAGAGCACTCTAGAATTATACCCTGATGTTTCCACTGAAAATATTATAAGATTGTTAACCTGAATTAAAATTGTTAACAGTCCACTGGGTTGTATACGAGAAACATGTCATTAATTTCCCAGATACACAAATGCAGCTAATTCACAGAGACTTTGCAGAAACTAAATTACAGTCAAGTCCCAATAAAATTAGTTACATGAATATTTAACAGATTCCACCTAAACTTTCTGATTAATGGTCCAAAACACAGTACATATATTCCTGTTCAATTAGTGACCTCCTACTTGTGCAAGTCAACATATGAGCAGATTATTCAAACACAAGAGGGCGCTATTCAACATCCACATGGGTGCAAATTTCACAGTAAGTTTTCACCAGAATAAGGCTTAATTTGTGGCAAAAACAACTACACTTGTACATGCACTTAAGCTAATAGTCACTCCTTATGTTTATCCAGAATATTACATCCAGGGGTAAAGATCAAGAGGAGATTTATGCCCCACGTTATCCAGCTTGGCACAACGCCCACAAGTATACATCGATAAACGAAATCAACATATCTTCGTTTCTTAAAATTAATTTCTTTTACACAATGTCAATAACTCTACTTCTTATGTCTCAAACTCCAATGCTTATTAAATCAGACAAGCAATGTTAAAAGATACATCAATGGCAGGAAACACGATAAAAATGTACCTGAGTTGGCAGATTTTGTAGGACGCAACCATGCGGTGACGGAAGATTTCGGGAATACCACCACCGCATGGTGGCACCCCACTCATCCACCGACCGCAGTTTCTCCGAGAGCCACACCACACTGGTACTCCGCGTTGTCGGTAAAATTGAAGAAAAGGCTCCAAGTTACCCAAAATAAATTAGTCCGGTTTATCTTAAACAAGGATTCCAGATCACATATTGGTCAAACTGAACTATACAAGCTGAGCATGATAAGTGTCAATGACCATGTTACACAACTCAAGCTGAATCATGTTTATGAAATTTTTCATGAAATGGCACCACACTTCCTCTGTCATCAATTTAGGAAGAATTATTCTACCAGGGGCAGTTCCACCAATTTTGTTGCTCCAAGAATAAAAGGGCAAGAGTGCAATACATTTTTTTATACTGGAATTCATGAATGGAATTTACTTCCCAACAATCATCCTCAATTTAAAAGAGCAGTGAAAGAACGTCTCTCTTCTCAGTCATTTTTTTTAAGCATCTGAGTTTTTAATGATCATTTTTTAATGATCATTCTTTGCTTTAACCTGTGTAATTTTTTTTAAAGTTTTTATAATGTACTTGTAAGTTTTTGTGTATGTGCTTTTAAGGACCCTGATGGAAATAAGCCGCCCTATAAACCGTTTTTGGGTTATCCTTGCCTTTGTATTTCCTACGTTCATTTTTGTATGTACCACTGTACGTTTGTTTGCATTTGCCAAAATAAATAAATAAACAAATAAATAAATAAGGTACTTGTCTGACGTCACAGGACAAGTCTGGGCGAGCAAAGGTAGGGGGGAAATACACGGACTAAGGGTATAATAAAAAAAAAAAACCTGCAAAGTGGTGTTGTGGTAACTGGAGGTTTTACCCTAAGGTACCCCACAAAACCCTGTTAAACCTCGTAAAACCTTGAGGTAAACCTTGAGTTACCACCTGTTTAAATCTGCATTCTCCCCTAACGGGCAAGTTAAGACGTGATAACAGAGTCGGTGTGTGACGTAAGAATGAAATAGTATTTACGATGTACCAAAACAATTTGCTTATGTTTGAGTAATTTAACCAGAAAGGGTATGGTAAGGTGTAGCTTTCTATTCCCACGGACACGTCCGAGTATGTACGATTCACCAATAACTCACACCTAAAACCATAAATATCCTATGGCTACAAAATAACATGTAATATTCTCTCGACTAAACATCCCTACATTCAACTGACAATTGTATAGCACAGTGATATGTCAGACTACCAAGTATACTCAACTACCAAAATACATGACTCTGACTTAAAATCACATTGCAATATGAGCTATAACTGTGGCTGGAAACAGCGAGTCAATATTTACCTAATTCAAATACATAGTTTGCAAATATAAACTGTTTCTTACCTCCATATCATCTATGCCTTGCAAATGAGGTGGCATCTCTGGTATCACTTGTGGCTCATAGGATGGCAAAGCAAGTGCTTCATCTTCCATTTGCTTAATAAGGTCGATCTGGAGAAAATTGGTAGTAATCCTCTTCGTGCTGAGCCATGATGACAACGCTGACCTTTCAAATTACACGTCAGTGACCAATTTTGTTTTCGTGTTTAATGTTAGACCCACGCTACCAAGTATTTTATTTGATACAACCGTTTTATGTATGAAGTGCCCGCACTAACCGTGGGAATTGAATCCCCTCATCTTAACCATACTTATTAAATAATAAATTCCCCCCCCCCCCACCAACTGTAATAAGAAAATCCATTGATACAAATAATAATTTAGTAGATTCCAATTTAATGAAGACACTAACGTTGAATTACGATTTAAATAATTAAATTTAAACAGACAGCATTTCTGATTTTGTTTTCTCTTCAATTCATTTATTTATTCATGTCTTTAGTCAAAGTTAAAAGTGTACCCACCACCTATGACAATACCGATACTAATGATGTCTCTATTAATTTTTAGCTATTAAAAAAGTGAAGGTATTAAACATTAGAAACTATTAATTCAGTGACAGTAAACATTTAGAACATTGGGTTCAGAGTACTACAGGTTAATTCAAATATCACTCTATGATTACTGGCAGGCAGACGAATGACAGCCAAAAACAAACGCTCCCACTTTTATTCACCCAATCCACTCATATCCACAACAATCCTTGACCGCTTTTTAATCGACCAATCAGAACACAACAAACGTTTCGGGTTTTAAGTTACCCGAAGCATCCTCTTTCATTACCTGTGAGGCATGATGAGTATTACTTTTATTTAGTTTTTTATTCATTATATTCCTTCTCCACTACAGTAGTTGTACCCATGTACCAAAATGTGATTTATTCTATGGGCCAGTCAGATTCCCTTTTCTTCAGCAAAGTTCATTGAACTTTGTGCTATCGTAACAATTTGGTTTCCCGGTATTTGGTTTCAACCTCATCTATAGCACCACTAAAAGATACTTTCTACCAAGTTTTAATAAAATCTGTGACATATAGTGCCTTGACTCATGGATCTGACATCATAATGACATCACAAGTCATGCGACGTCATCTTTAAGTGCATTATTCAATGGTGTACCTGTGTACCCAGAAAATTACAATGCCAATTGGGTTGTGACTTTGTATATACATGTACCGGGTTGTGTTATATGAAGAGCAAAGTGACATCATGAGGACACCATATGATGTGTTTTTTATTGATTTTCGGAATGTAGGTAGGCCGGGATGTGTTATAGGTAAAAATGGAGGTGACGTCGTCATGACGTCATCGTGTGATTTTATATCAATTTTTGAATTTTTGAAGATAATCACGATATCTCTCGTACCCAACATGCTAAATTTAAAATTGTTTTTGCATTAGGTCTGTTAGTTAATAGTTACATGCACAACATTTTTTGAAATTTGTGACATCACGATGACATCATCAAAAATGCGATTTTTCAAAACTCATATAAGAGTAAGTCCGATTGTCTTGAAACTTGTTGTGTAGGTATGTACTGTTACTAATATAAAAGAATCCCAAAGTGACGTCATGATGACGTCGTCGGTTGATTTTTTATGATTTTCTAAAATTTAGATTTTTATTCTACTTCCAAATGTTAAACTTCAGTTCATCTGTTTGACTTTAAACTTGGTACAAACCAAGACTACAAAGAAAACATGTGCACTGACAAGTGTTGTTAAGATAACGTCATCGCAGGGCATGTGACATCATCATGAAAGTACACTTTTCAAATTCTCGTATTGAGAAAACTGTTGGTCCCATTGGGTCCCACAATTCAGTAGGAACGTAGTCTATACACGAATTGTAGAGTGAGACTTGAAGGTTTGCAGGGTGGAAAGATCAATAAGTGAGAGGTTTCCACATGGTGTTACCGCAAACCTCTCATGCATTGTAGAGGCAAATTTACCAAGAGGCATGATTAACACCATCAATGTGATTTTATATAAGATTTAAATTTAAACAAACTCCATATTTGTAACCAGTCGATGTTGTCTTTCTGATAAACATTGCTGCTAGTGAAAAGCAAACAGCACCCTCTTGTGGCTTAAAAAACTGTTTGCCTTTTCGGTCAGGTTCCCGTATTTTTCTTTGTTCTTCTCATTCTTTGAACAACTGGGAATTTGTGAAATAATGGAAACATCATCTGTCAGACCTGAGCATAATATAGGAACATCAGATCTGATTTTGCTTTTTACGGGAATTGATGTATTAATCCAGGGTCTTAATTTGTGTTATAAGGTAGAAAAAGCATTGACCCTTCTTCCCGGTTGAAACCCGAAGTGCCTTAATTTTTGCAATTGGTGAAAGATGTGAACTTGCTTTCAACCATGCGAGTCTGTGGAAAGGGAGGCTTTTCAAAAATCTGACGAGTGACACCAAGTATTATTCGAGCGCACTCAGGTGGCAGGTGATCACAGGTCTTGCGATGTAATCTTAAAAGTGCATTTTTTTAATAATATATCTAAAGAACCACTGTTCTGTTGTAAACAGACATAGATCTCTAGTTCTATAATTACATGTATTATATTCCTGCTATGTCTAATTGAGGATTACTTGTTTTATATGTTCAGACAATTGACAGGGTCCATGATGCCTGCAAGTTGCTTTGCTCCAGTGAGAAATTTGTGTCTGTCCTGGAGCACGTTCTTGCCATTGGAAATTTCATCAACAGTGGGTCAGCTCAAGGGGTTTCCATGGGCTTCAGACTGATTTCGTTGCCAAAGGTGAGACACGATTATCATCATCATCTATCATCCATCATTAGATGTCATTATTAAACACGGGGAAAGAACAATGACCTACCAGTCAGACATAATGGTGCTGAGCCAATGCCTATTTTATAGCACACTCGTTCTGCTGGTTGTACAGCACGGTTTATGTAGTACAACACAAACAATTTGCAGTGCTGGGGCGTATTTTCGCGACCGTGACCAGCAACATATGTTTATGACGTCAATTAATAAACAGAAACATGTTTACACATGTGCCCAAACACTGAACCGAAAACAGTGTAAAAAAGTTGTAAACAAACATGGCAGAGGGTGTAAATGGGATGGCAATTGTAACCGGGGAGAGCGATATTTTAATTTAAATGGCTCACTCTCCTCCCAACCGAGTGGTTCCACTAATTTAAAATAATTTGGGTGGAGCGAAGTTTTTTGTTTGTCTCAACAATATCAAAATATTTTATTTACAACACAATATGAGACAATATATATATACAAATTATCAGGTTTTTACAATTGAATGATAGTATATAAGAACTTTGGGTATATAAAACGACAGTCAAAAGGGAAAAAATATAGGCTGAACTGTCACTCCAAGGAAAGGATCACTTGGGATGATCTACGTTCATGTCTTCTCCGTGCTCGATGTTAAAATCGATGTAGAAGCAGCAAAATATTGCAAAATGCAATGCCGGCAACGCTGGATATAAAATTATATTGCTGCTATCGTGGAGCCGCACCCAAAACTTGCAGAAAAAGTGGAGTGTGCAATGTTCGCTATAAATGCTGGTCGCAAAGCAGGGGCAGAACCAGCCAGATAGATGTCAACCCAAAGCAGAGTTGGAACGGAATCAACAATATTTTGGACCTAGTCCTACAAGAAAACTATATGAAACGCCAGGAATGCCAGCTATCCAACTTGAACAAAGCGCGTGGAATGTTAAACTCGCCTGCTCGCTACGCCCATCGCATAGTTGAAAAAGTAGCGGGCAAAATTCTAGGTGGCGCGTGCTGTGCTAAAAAAGTTTAGTTCGCCGCAAGAGGACGCTAGGCAAAAAGATGATCGATCATAACGCAATGCTCGTGGCTGACAAAGTGACATACAAGTAATTTACTTAAAGGAAACATGCAGTCCAAAATTTTCATAACATATTTTATTTTATATATACATTCATTTATGTGTATTAAATGTGAATTAAAAGCAGAACTGGTTCTGGTGTATGTTTAGTGTGGTAATTTGCCGTCCAAAATTGAACCCCCCCGTTTTGATTTTCGCGGCAACTCCAAATGAGGGCGCTGTTCATGACGTAAACAAAGGCAGAGAAATCCAGGGCCCGTAAATGACGTCTGGGTACAAGACGGATTAGCGAAGCTACTGTGCTGTGTGTATGTGCAGCCGCCGCGTACCCGTACGTGGCATTATATGCACACGTACGAACACACAGACGTGCCACAGTTCCACCGTTGTCGAATGAACACAACGACGACCGTCATGACCGTGAAAGTTCCGAAGACTCTTCCTCTTCTTCCCTTAGCGAATCCGATGAAAATGGTACAGATTCGTCCGATTCGAATCAGAGTTCTAATGATTCAGACACTGACTCGATGTTTTTTTAGGGGCATGCCCAAGTTGCTGTACAGACCAGCATCAAAGCACGACGGCTCAAAGTGCAGCGAGGGCCGCGAACTCACTCACGAGGGCCGCTCAGAGGGACGCGAACTCACTGGGCCCGGACCACTTTGCTCTGGTATTTACCTTCACTTTGGCTCTCCAAATGCTCCGATATTTCGGATTTACTGGAAACAAATGAAGGCTTAACTCCATCCTTGGTAGTTTTGCTACACCCAGCAGCCACACACCTTGTCGGCATGGCTGAAAATCGGGTGTTATTTCTCCTCGATTCCGAACGAAACACCAGAAAAACTTTCAGTGCCGCAATGTATATGTACATGTATTATGATGCACGCCGCAATGCCGGTGCCCCCCGCAGCGCGGCAAGTCTCTGCCTTGATTTGCATCATACCCCTCGCGAAGTTTTATGTTAATGAAGCTTCCCTTTGTGGGGCTGAGTAGTTTGACCAAACATGTTCACAAATTATTTTCCCCCATTTATCCCAGGAAATAAACACCGCCATACACAAAATATTGTTAAGAACATCATCCTTAATTGATTTAAGCCAAAAAAATGCAATCAAAATTTTATTTCATGTTCCCTTTAAGTTATGACATGTGATGCATGATGGAGTAGGGAAACTGTCGGGTAAAAGTGTTAACGAAAACCCGACCTGGTTACACTCACCCCCTAATTTAAAAAAAAAAAAGAAGTTTTGTAAAAGGGAATTTTATAGTAACTAACAGTTAACAGTTTGTTCATTCGCCAGATACCGAATTGATTTGGGCAAGCTGGCATCAAGTCATGGGGCTATTACAGGTCCAAAAGAAAAATATCAAACACATAATGGACTCCCACTGGTCCCGTACATGTACGTCAATTACCATTTGGCTCCCAGGCCAATCAATTACCATTTGGCTCCCAGGCCAACCATTAATGAATGGGTATGCATGGCCCAGTCCACATCTGTGGGGGACAGCCGTGGTTGCGCTATGGAAATACAGCACATCCGACCCCTGGGGTACGTAAGGGGGAGTGGCTGCCCCTTACAAAATTCAAATCACATTGTATTACTAAATATCAATAACATACCCATAAAAACTAATGATACATGTACATGTAAAATCATGTGTGTATGTGTATTAGGCATGGGCTGTCTTCGAATCCTGTTAAAGACGCTACTTTAAAACCTGCAAGAATAGGCAGGAGCTGGGGTGGTGGTGGGTAAATTTATCCAGCTTGCACAAAAAGCTGTGACAGAATGAGACACACACACACGTAACAGAGCATTTTAAACACCTCACATTATTAGGCTGTTAGAATTTACACACTGGCCATCATGGCATTGTAAATTGCAAAATGAACTGACTGAAACCATGAGTAGCACTAAACCTATGTTTCCCCTAGTATAATGAATTTTGTCAAAATTCATATATTGTGACAAAATCTTGTAAGTCGTGACAGAGAACGTGACTGGAAGCGGTTGAGGCGACTGCAGAAACAGGCCTGCCAGATTGCTGAAAGAAACCGCAGAAGTAATTGCTCCAGCCATCAGTATCCTGTTCCAGGCCTTCCTCGATCAAGGTACCATACCAGCTGCATGGAAGAAGGCTTTAATAGTCCCTCTATTCAAGAAAAGGAATCGATCCTTACCATATAACTATAGGCCTATATCACTCACGTCCATCCTAAGTAAGCTGTGTGAACATGTGGTTCACAGTGCTATCATCAACCATCTGACTGACCACAAGATCATAACTGATGCGCAACATGGGTTCAGAAAGAGGTGCTCTTGCGACACCCAACTTATACTAACCATAGATGATCAGGCTAAAGGAATAACAAAGTGAAAGAGCAGACCGTCTTGATACTGTTGGACTTTAGTATAGCCTTTGATAAGGTTTCCCATAGATTTCTCCTGCACATGATTGAGCACTATGGTGTGCGTGGAACAAGTCTCCAGTGGGTCAAGAATTTCCTCAGCCAGCGCACTCAGCAAGTACTGGTAGACGGGAAAGTCAGCACACAAGCTATGGTATCATCTGGAGTGTCCTAGGACCGCTGCTCTTTTTGGCGTTCATCAATGACCTCCCTGACAGCGTGAAGAGCTCCAAAACAAGATTATATGCGGACGACTGTGTGCTGTACAAGAGAATTTCATCACCTCAGGATGCTTCTCTACTTCAGGAAGACCTGGATGCATTACAGAAATGGGAAGAGACGTGGCTGATGGAGTTTCATCCATCAAAGTGTCGGGTAGTGAGCATCACAAACAAGCGCAAACCAACATCTGCAACCTACACAATCCATGGCACGACCCTCGAAGTTTGGCTGGCAGCTCGGATGATTCAACTGTTATGAACAACGTCTGGCAGCATTTGGTCAAGTTAGCTGACTATTGCTGGCGGAGCTGGGTATTTTGGGATCCCACTCCAGTTTCATTGCCCCAAGTCTAGTGATGAACAGCACTAGACTTTGGACTGGTATTGGATGATCTTCATGGTAGACAACAATGGCAGTCCCGACTCTAAGTTGAGCTACTGTTCATCTCTCCTTGGGGAAGAAATGGTATTTATCATCTCGTCTGGCCTCTTAAATGAGCACCCCAGTCGGCATCGTCAGTCAGTAAGAGCTACGGCAGAAAGTAGCTAAACTGAAGCCTTGCATCACCACACTCCAAGAAACCTTTCTGTCGAGTACTTGTCCTGATGGCGAATGTAGTATAACAGGCTACACACTTCATAGAAATGACAGGTCTACCTTTGGAGGTGGTGTCGCCGCATACATCAAGGATGATCTCCCCTGTCGTCGTAGATCTGATCTTGAGTGCAAGTGCCATGAGATACTATGGCTTGAGTACCACGCACGGCATCAGCATATCTTTGTCTCTTCTGTGTACCGCCCCCCATCAGCTGATGATACCTTATATGAGTGTATCTACAATTCAATTACAAAAGTCCAAGAAAGTGAGGTGCAATCTTCCTTCATCAATCTTCCATCTCTTGACAGCGGCACTGTTCCATCTGCCTGGAAGTTTGCAAATGTAACATCTGTTCCCAAAGCTGGCTCATCAAGTGACCCTAAAAACTATAGGCCGATAGCACTCCTTCCAGTTGTCTCCAAGGTCATGGAAAGAGTCTTAAATCATGCTCTTCTCACACACTGTTGTGCAAACAACCTATTACCCAATCTGCAGTTTGGCTTTCTCCCCAAAAGATCTACAAATGACGCTCTTCTTCTTATCACGCAACAAATTAAGGATAACCTCGATAAAGGGTATGAGTCTCGCCTCATCGCACTTGATTTGTCTGCAGCATTTGATCAGGTGTGGCACACTGGACTTCTTGCTAAATTAAAGAACTGTGGCATCACTGGCAACCTGCT